GAAAAATTTATATTTCGTCTTCTGGAACCTTCTGTGGTTGTTTAAGGCAGGACACTACAGGTGAATGAAAATTAACTAAAATATCACCATATTTTCCCCAACTGATTAATTACAGTACATTAAAAGAAATAGTTTTATAATACAAGTTACACACACACACACACAGGTGCACACATATCCATATGCGCACACACACACACACACACACACACACACACACACACACAGGCAATGCAAAGACTTGCTGGCAGCTGTCATTATCTATTAGTGATAAGGTATAGGGCAGTGGAACATCTGTGCGAGCCTCTGCTGCTTCTTTCAAAGAGATTAGAGATTATTTTGGCACTTGTTAAATATCAGATCTATCAGATGGTTTTCAGATCAACTGAAAGTGTTCTGTTATCAACCATCTTTTTGTCTAAGAACAAAGCTAGAGATTGTTGTGAAAGTACTGCTTTTCCTTGACTGACCTACTGACATCATGACTAAAGGTTAATAAGATTTCACCCTGAGTTGATTTACCGGGATTGTGAACTGAAACTCACGTACACATAGGTTAATTTAGAGTCTTGTTAGGGTTAAGCGTGAAAGTTAATTATGTAGAATTTAAAGGGCTTGGTCGCCATTTGGTTTGTTCTTGGAGCAGATAATAGGTTTATTTTTATGTGTTTTGTTTCACCCTAATTACAGATAATGAATGAGTATTAGTTAATAAGAAAATAATTATATAATGTCTAGGTGTTTGCAAAAACCTTTTATTATTGAAGCTCAGTTTAAGTCTAATATGTGCCGGAATGTTCTTTTCCCCTTTGTTATGATGGAGTGTTTATCTCAACCTGATGTGAGTCAGTGTTGTCAACAGATTACAAAAACCCCAAAGGGTGGGAGTGAAGGGGGAGGGAACGTGTGTGTGTGAGCGTGTGTATTTGCAGGCTTTGACTTTGGTTGGGTGCTGTGTTTTATGTTTCCTACTTAGACAGCACATCAGCACTTTCACACCGGGAGAGAAACCAAACATGTTAAACCACAACATCTCATGAGGAGGAAGCGACACTTGCAAACAGAAGTGTGTGAAAGTCTGTGTTTGCGGATTATGATACACACCTGTAAAATATTGGTTGGCTTGTAGGTGCTTGTCTGTAAAAGTGATGAATTCATAAAAATCTAGTGGTGGACAGGGGTTTTTCAGTCTCCTATATTGACTGAAATCTGAAGATGCAGCTGTTGACAGACTGAACTATTCAATATAGTATAATATTATACTACATTCTATCCTATACTATATACACACACTATATTTCACAAAATGAGGTAATATGTGTGTATACTTTAGAATAATATATAATAGTAAATATATATATACACACTATATTTCACAAAATGAGGTAATGTGTGTATATTTTATAGAAATATATAATAGTAAATGCTTACGCTATACATTTTTTTATATATATAATATATATATTATATATATTTTAATATATATTTTTTATATAAATACACAGTATATATATATATATATATATATATATATATAAATACACTGTGTGTATATACAGTATCTCACAGAAGTGAGTACACCCCTCACATTTTTGTAAATATTTTATTATATCTTTTCATGTGACAACACTGAAGAAATGACACTTTGCTACAATGTAAAGTAGTGAGTGTACAGCTTATATGTGTGTGTGTGTATATATATATATATATATATATATATATATATATATATACAATATATGTGTGTGTGTGTGTGTGTGTTTTAAAAAAACGTACATTTTATTGTAAAACGAATATTCTTTATTCAAGTATATGCAGTTGCATTATGTAATGCGGTATTATTTAATATTATAATAGCCTCTACAATACCAGTTTTATAATGTGCATATTGTTTAATATAATATTTTACAAAAAAAAATTTGTGTTTCTTCTCCACAATGAGGTTGCATGTGCTTGCATGTGTGTGTGTGTGTGTGTGTGTGTGTGTGTGTGTGTGTGCATGTTTATGTGGTTTGAGGACACAAATTTGTATAATAACATGGGTATGACATAGGTATTACAACGAGAAGGTGATTTATGAGGACATTTTCAGTGTCCCCGTAATTCAAAAGGCTTATAAATAATTCAGAAAGTTTCCTGTGAGGGGTAGGTTTAGGGGTAGGGTTGGTATAAGGCAATAGAAAATATGCTTTGTACAGTATAAAAACCGATGGTTCTACGCCTTCATTTGAGTCCAGCTGTGTTTGATTATACTGATTGGACTTGATTAGGAAAGCCACACACCTGTTTATATAAGACCTTACAGCTCACAGTGCATGTCAGAGCAAATGGGAATTATGAGGTCAAAGGAACTGCTCTTAGAGCACAGTGGTTCCTAAGAGCACAGTGGCCTCCATAATCCTTAAATGGAAGACGTTTGGGACGACCAGAACCCTTCCTAGAGCTGGCCGTCCGGCCAAACTGAGCTATCGGGGGAGAAGAGCCTTGGTGAGAGAGGTTAAGAAGAACCCAAAGATCACTGTGGCTGAGCTCCAGAGATGCAGTCGGGAGATGGGAGAAAGTTGTAGAAAGTCAACCATCACTGCAGCCCTCCACCAGTCGGGGCTTTATGGCAGAGTGGCCCGACGGAAGCCTCTCCTCAGTGCAAGACACATGAAAGCCTACATGGAGTTTGCTAAAAAACACCTGAAGGACTCCAAGATGGTGAGAAATAAGATTCTCTGGTCTGATGAGACCAAGATAGAACTTTTTGGCCTTAATTCTAAGCGGTATGCGTGGAGAAAACCAGGCACTGCTCAACCCCCTTTCGAATACAGTCCCAACAGTGAAGCATGGTGGTGGCAGCATCATGCTGTGGGGGTGTTGCAATCGAGGGAAAGATGAATGCGGCCAAGTACAGGGATATCCTGGACGAAAACCTCC